ACAAGCAACTAAAAAATGTTAACTACCTTTAAGTAATCAGGAAACATCGCTTGCAGTTGTGCTGAGCTTCTTGTAGTGAATATTTCAATGAACGAGCTTTCGTCCGTCCCCCATTTCTTGATGCCAGCCTGTATAGACGTACAAGTATAAATGATGTCCGCATTATAAAATAAACTGATATATCTCAAGGTATTTACCTCAATCAGCGTCTCAGCGTCTTTGTGAGCTTGGTCCTCATTCACTTTAGTGACCTCATCACGTTTACCCTGGAAGAAATAACAGTGAAATTGGAAACCGAGACATGGAATAGATAAGTGGGATAGGCAAAAAAAAAGTGTAAATAGATAGAAATCAATAGACTCATAATACGAAATTCAATAAGGCAGATCCATACTTGCAGTAGTGCAACCAGGAGATTTTCAAAATCGCCACTAGTGTCAGACTTTACATCGTCCTCGAGCGTGCTTTCGTATACTAAAAAGAGCAACATAATGATACGATTAACAACCATGATTGTTAGATAATATAGAAATAAAGGAAAGCTATAATAGTGCTGGGAAGGAGGGGATTGATAGATAGACTGGAAGATTGTGTGGTACAAAAAAAACACACATCAAATTATGTGTTGTTATTTACGTTTCTTGTAGTCATTCTTGATTACTTCGATTTCCTGCAATGAAAAAAAATTGAAGCATTAAGATCATATAGATTGGTTGACTAACAGCAATCGTTTGATTGATGCCGCATTGATTTCTGGAATGAGTGATTGGTTGGTTGTTTAGTTGGTTGGTTGGTTGGTTCTCGCTGGGTTGATTAGTTGATTGGTTGGTTGGTTGGTCGGTTGGTTGGTTGTTTAGTTGGTTGGTTGGTTGTTTGCGGGTTATTTGTTTAGTTGGTTGGTTGGTTGTTTGCGGGTTGTTTGTTTAGTTGGTTGGTTGTTCGGTCGGTCGGTCGGTCGGTCGGTTGGTTTGTTGGTTATTTGGTTGATTGGTTGGTTGGTTAGTTTGCTGGTTGGCTATAAGTATCAAGAGTCGTAAATTAGTTCCATCTGATCCACTTACCGAATTGGTTCTCGTGCATAAAATTTCAATTAATACCGTCTCATCTGTACCAAGACCCTAAAATATACAACCATCAATAAGGATTACAGGTATCACCTTCACAAGATTATATATTGGTCTCGCGAGCACGATATTATTTCTTATAGAATTGTAGAACCCAAGAAATAATCATTTCTCTTCATATYGCGATCGTTTTTACCTTCATAGCCAAATACAAAGACCTGGCATCGGCTTGAGATGGTGGCAAAAGACTTGCAGCAACRGCTTCGTGAAGATCTTCGTCTAGCTTGGAATCTATGGCCTCAAGCAAATCCTGYAAAAAATTAGTTCATAAAGATTCATCTCTATTGCATAAAAGTAGGTAGACCTGATTAAGAACATAATWGAGGAAAGACGAGCGCAACAAATTACATGACTTGTAAACAATTTTCGTATSAGTAAAAACGGACCTTTTTGTGTTCCTTCTTGTAGCTGTCAGCCAGCTTCTTTAGTTTCGTCTGGTCTGCAGCRTGCTGGATGATAATTTCCTTGATCTTCTTCTTATCATTAGCTAAGAACGATGAATATAAAAAACGATATCAACTCTGTATACAATGGCTTAAATCAAGTATTGACTGTACCTTCAATAGCTTTGTGTAGAGCTGACGAGGCTTCGCTGTCTTTCTTTTCTTTATCSACAGCGGCTTGYTTCTTTGCAGGAGAGGATTTTGATGGTGATTTGCTATTTTCTTTACCATTTTCTTTGGCTTTTGCTTGGTTGGTCTAAAACGACATTAAAAACTAAAAGAATTCTGAACGATTCAACAAAACTAACATCTGTTTTAATATCTTGTT